CGAGAGCCGGGAGGTGTTCGCTGGGAAGGTGGTGCCCAAGTCGCTGCTGGTGAAGCCGCACCAGAAGGAGAAGATGTCCATGGAGATCGCCATCCACCGCAGCCTCTCCCACCGTCACGTCGTCGGCTTCCAGGGCTTCTTCGAGGACGACGACTTCGTCTACGTCGTGCTGGAGCTCTGCCGCCGCAGGGTGAGGGGCCGAGGGGCGGGTGTCGGTGTCCCCGGGTGCGGACCTGTCCTTCCCTTCCCCGCGTCCTGCGGTACTGAGCTCCTCCTTGCCCCGCAACCCCCGCCCCGGTACTGACCCCCCGTCCCCCGCAGTCGCTGCTGGAGCTGCACAAGCGGCGGAAGGCGCTGAGCGAGCCCGAGGTGCGGTACTACCTGCGGCAGACCATCCTGGGCTGCCAGTACCTGCACAGCCACCGCGTCATCCACCGCGACCTCAAGCTGGGCAACCTCTTCCTTAGTGACGACATGGAGGTGAAGATCGGTAAGTGCAGGGACCCCAGCACGGGGACCAGCCAGTCAGGGCGTCCTGGTTATATCCCGTCTCCCTGTCCCTCCAGGTGACTTTGGCCTGGCCACCAAGGTAGAGTACGATGGGGAACGCAAGAAGACTCTGTGTGGGACACCCAACTACATCGCCCCAGAGGTGCTGGGCAAGAAGGGGCACAGCTTCGAGGTGGACATCTGGTCCATTGGCTGCATCATGTGAGTCAAACTGCCTTTCAGAGGGCATGGAGCTGGGCAATCCCTGTTCTGATCTCCTTGGCCCCTCTGAGCTTCAGTGTCACTGTCCCCACAGTGCTGAGTCCTGCTGCCAGGCAGCTCCCAACCTTCCCCAGCTGAAGCATTCCCTGCAGGGTGCTAGATCCTAGCTTCCCTTTCCAGGGAACAGGATTCAGGCACAGTACACATAGCTGTCAGTGTGTCTTAATGCTAAGCATGTTCCCTCTGCCAGGAAAGCCCCTGGGTGTGCTTAGGACATGGTTGCTCCTGTGTACAATCTGAGTCTCTTTGGCAAAACTGACACCCTTTTGTCTGGGAATGCCCAGGTACACTCTGCTGGTGGGGAAACCGCCTTTTGAGACTTCTTGCCTGAAGGATACGTACATCCGGATCAAGAAGAACGAGTACACCATTCCCAAGGTATGCCGCTTCCCATGGAGTGTCTGTTTGGCTCACAGCGGTGCTTGGTGAGCCTCCTGCTGCAGCCTCTGTGTCTGCCACTCCATGGGCTCTCCATAGCAGGGCAGGGGCTCTCAGGCTGGGGCGGTGTGAGCCTTGTGGGGAGCCAGCAGCTCCCTGCCCTGCAATCCAGCAAAAATCTGAGCTGGGCTGCTGGTGTGTGGGGGTGAGTGGACATGGGCAAGTCCAGGAGGTCTGGGCCAGGTCCCCGGCTCACTCCACTGCTGATGTGTTGGTATTGCTCCAGTCATTTGACCCCAGGCTTTGGGTGCTGTTAGGAGCCAGTTCTTTGTGCCACCCAACTCTGCTTCCCCAGGCTTGTGTCCCGCTTGCCCGATGCAGCAGTGGAGCTCTGCTCCAGGCGGAGCTTCCCTGGGCTGCAAACTCCGTTCATTTGTCACTAGTGCACGTTGTCCCTGACCCGTCTCTAAACTCTGCCTGTCCCTCAGCACATCAACCCCGTGGCCGCAAGCCTCATCCAGAAGATGCTGAGGTCAGACCCCGCCACACGCCCCACCGTCGACGAGCTGCTGAACGATGAGTTCTTCACCTCTGGGTACCTGCCCAGCCGCCTGCCCACCAGCTGCCTCACCATCGCTCCCCGCTTCTCCCTGGCTCCCAGCAGCCTGGAGCTCTGCGGGCGGAAGCCGCTGACCGCGCTCAATAAAGGTAGGGGTGGGTGCCCGGGTGAGCTGGGCCGTGGGGCCGGGCACAGCCTGCCAGGGCTGCAGGGCTGGGCACAGCCTGCCCAGCCTCCAGCAGCATGCACAACCTTCAGTGTGCCTCCCTCGCATCATCTCCTGATCCTTATGGAAACTCAGAGCATTTGTGGGTGAGGGGGCTCTCCCTGCTCTGCCCGGGATGAAGCACTGCATTCGCTTCAGCTCTGTAAGGGGCTCAAACTGATGCCTGGGAAGTTCCACCAGAACACAAGGAAGACCTCTCCTGTGCAGTACCTGAGCACTGAACAGCTTGCCTAGAGAGGGTGTGTGGAGTCTCCCTCACTGGAGATACTCCAGAATCCTCTGGCCATGTGCTGTGCTCTGGAATTGCCCTGCTCGTGTCCCACCATAATCCCGTCCGACATGAGCCGCTCTGTGTGTCAGGTGTTGTCTGTACCTGGTGCCTTTGGAACCTCGTCCCTCACATCTCAGTGTTGTCTCTCTGCCCAGGACTGGACAGCCCTGCCCAGGAGCCCTTGCTGGAGAAGGAGGAAGCAGCAGGGCTGCGGGAGGTGGGAGATGCTGTCAGCTGCCACCTGGCTGACATGTTGCAGCAGCTGACTGCAGTCAACGCAGCCAAGCCCTCGGAGCGAGTAGCAGTGAGGCAAGGTGAGCCTGGGGCAGCCCATGGGCCTCGTGGGGTGCACTGGCTGTGGGAAAGGTCCCCTAACAAGCTGCTTTCTTCCTGCAGAAGACGCTGAGGACCCGGCCTGCATTCCCATCTTCTGGGTTAGCAAGTGGGTGGACTACTCGGATAAATATGGACTCGGTAAATACCATGGGTGGCAATGCTTCAGGCTTTCCTTGTGTCTGAGGAGGCTGGGAGAAGCCTGGGTTGGGGCATTTTCTAGGCCTGGGTTTTTAATTGCCATATTCCAGTGTATGTGTCCAAGAGCACTGCCAGGAATCTTACCAAATACCCCAGGAATCCAGAGCAGTGGTCACTGACCATCAGCCTTGGCCACTTTAATGTGGACAATGGTACCTGTGCATGAGGTGACCAGGCTCTCCCCAGCCTGCACAGCGATCCATGGTGGCAGCAGAGGCTGTTTTTGAAGCAGCTGATGCAATAAGGGAGATGACAAATCCAAAGGTGGAAAAATGCCAGCCAGACCTCCCCAAAGAGAAGACCTGGCAGGGCCTTGGTGAGATGGCTGTTAGGGAATCCCTGGGTGATAAACCATCTGCCTTGGTACTTCCCACCACCTGTGGGCCCCCAAGATCTCATGGGGTCCTTTCTGGGCAGGTTACCAGCTCTGTGACAACAGCGTTGGAGTTCTCTTCAATGACTCCACTCGGCTCATCATGTACAACGATGGGGACAACCTGCAGTACATTGAGCAGAACAACACTGAGTCCTACTTCACTGTGAGGTCCTACCCCTCTGCCCTCAACAAGAAGGTCAGTCCTGGGGGCAGGAGCCCTGGCTGGGGGTGGTGAGACCCCTGCCACCCGTAGGCTTGGATGGCAGGGTGGGTTCCAGGGAGAAACTTTTATTGGAGGCCACTGGCACTTTGCAGGCTTCCTCTAGCTGGTGACACATGGGTCCAAGGACAGACACTAGCAGCTCTAGCTGCTATCTGAGGCTCATTTATGAGCAGTTTCACAGAAATTTAAGTGCTCACATGACTTGCATGTACCAAAGTATTCAGCAAAGTGAGTCTGATGTGTCACGGTCAGAGTTAATTTTGAGGATTTCCCTAAGTTTTTGCCATAACACCTCAAGCTCTGAAAGATGTAAGGAGGGTCTGGGACTGTGATGGCTGTCCCTGTGCTCCTCCCCCGTGCCTGGGGTCACCCTCAGCCCCTCACAGCCTGTCCCTTCTGCAGATAACACTAATGAAGTACTTCCGGAATTACATGAGCGAGCACTTGCTGAAGGCGGGGGCGAACATCACACCACGGGAAGGGGACGAGCTGGCCCGGCTGCCCTACCTGTGCACCTGGTTCCGGACCCGCAGCGCCATCATCCTGCACCTCAGCAATGGCACCGTGCAGATCAACTTCTTCCAGGTGAGGCTCTCCGCAGGGCCGTGGCGCTGGCTGCACTTGGTGCTGTTTGGATGGTGGGGATGACCTGAGCCAAGGCTGTGCCCAGGGAGCCTGGCTCTGGGGGCTGTCTGTGCTGGTATCTAAAGCCCCCAGTGTCCTCACTTGTGAGGGGCTGTGCTCTGGAGCTGTTGCCCTTTGCTGCACTCTGAATTCTACAGAGGGGTTTTGTCACACGTTCCGGGTGTGCCGAGATGGCTCATCCAGAGGAAATGCTGCCCCAAGGAGCACGGTGCTCAGTGAGCGTGTGTTGTCTCCCCCCAGGACCACAGCAAGGTCATCCTGTGCCCTCTCATGGCTGCTGTGACATACATAGATGAGAAACGGGACTTCCACACGTACAAGCTGAGCCTGATCGAGGAGCACGGCTGCTGCCGCGAGCTGGCCAGCCGCCTGCGCTACGCGCGCACCATGGTGGAGAAGCTCCTCAGCTCCAAGTCTGGCTCGGGCCGGGTGAAATCCTCCTCCTAGACCTCGTTCTTGCTGGACTCGACATCAGTGCCAAACTGCCCGGCTGTGGAGGGAGAGGTCTGGCAGCTTCCCTCCCGCGGCCCGGCTGGGTTCCTACTCCTGGGTCTGGGCTCACTGCCCCGAGGAAGTCCTGCTGCTGTGGGAATGGTGTTGTTCACTGACTGGTGCCCAAAGGTTTCTTGCTTCCTGCTCCTAACAAAGTGTATTTTTAAACTCCCTACCTAGTCTGTTTTTCTAATTTCCCAAAGCCAAAAACCCAGCTCCAAACCAGCCCTCTCGTTTGAGGTGCCTGGGGCTGCTCTTGAGAGAGCAGAGCTGGCAGTGAGGTGTCTGTACATGGCTGTACCCGTGCTCTGGGCTTCGTTTCCTCTGGTAGAAGCTCAGGTAAGGTATTGAACAAGCCCGGGGTGAGATTTGAGCAATTGACCTTTTAATGCTGAAACTCCATGAAACCTCAACTTTTGTATATTTCATAACTTTAATAAAGATTGTTTAACAGCATCCAGGCTGTTTCACTTCCCTTTGCCTTGCTGAGAGAGGGGATAGCACTGCTCTGGCTTTCCCCTCTCAATGAGACATCCTCTTACCCTTGGCCTGGGCTTGCCTCTTCCTTGGCTCCATGACTAATTATGGCTAAAGAATCAGCACAAGTCCTCTCAGGCAGCAGGAGCCCAGTGACCTGCCTGTTGCACTCCACCATCACTGCCAGCAACTAGAGGTGCTCTTAGGCCAGTTTGTTTTTATAAGCAGGACAATCTTTAGTCGATGTTTTTTAATTTTTTATAACATTTTGTATAAATACATTCTGAAAAGAAATCTGGTACAAACCCTGTTATCTGTGTAACAAAATCCCACACCCCAGTATGCAGAGGAATCAAACTATACAAAATTATTGCTGTTCCACAGAGGAGCTTTGCTGTGGGGCTCTCTGTGTCCATAGGCTCAGCTGGTGCTGGACGCTGGCTTGCAGGGCCCACATGCCCATGGGCATGCCATGAACCACAGCACCCATGGGATACCTGCCCTGGGCAGCAGGAGAGGCTGGGGGAGCTGCAGGCACAGGCCTGTCTTTGAGAGAGGGATCCCAGGGGCAAGGAATGCCCTCCTTTGTGCCCAGAGACAACTGTTCTTGGACTGCTGTGCCACCAGGCCTGGTACAGGCTGCTGGGGCTCGTAAGGGAGAAAGCCCTGTTCTGGGCACAGCTGAGATTCACACCCCCCTATGGTGGGGCTGTGCCCCACAGCCTGGGTGCCAGAGGCAGGTCCAGCCTCAGGGCGGCTGCTGGGCCTGGCCTGGTGAGCACAGCCCTGCTGGGGCTGGGGGGCAGCTCCAGTGTCAGGACTGGGGGCCTGGTCCTGGGCACAGCTCAAGGAGCTGCATCCCCAGGCCCTTGGCACAGGAGAGAACCTGTGGGACAAAGCCTCCTGTTCCTGGTGAATGTCCCCTGAGGCTGATGGCAGCCTGAGGGCATCGCTGTGCCAGGGCCCCACTGTGAAAACACAATGTGTTTTCCTCTTTCTTCTCCAAGCACTGTATCCACCTGAGATGTCTTTGTTTTCTGACCCAAATGCCTTCACACCTGAGTCTGGCTGTGAGTGTTGGCAGAGTGTTGGCTGCCCAGAGGGTCCCCCAGGTGAGAGCACGGTGCTGTCCCATCCCTCATCTGCTGAGCCCTCGCCTGGCTGGCAGCAGGGCACTGAGAGAGGGCCCAGGCGGGGAGCAGCAGCCACAGCCCTCGGGCATAGCCCATGGTCCTTGGGCCTGACGCACGGCCTTCAGGTGTGACCCGCAGCCCACAGGCACCGTTGCCCCTAAGGCATGGCCCACAGCTGTCGTGTGTGACCTGCAGCCCTCGGGCATGGCCCACAGCTGTCGTGTGTGACCCGCAGCCCTCAGGCGCCATCGCCCCTCAGGCCCTGGCAGTAGTAGGAGCGGAAGGTGCGCTCGTGGGCACAGAGCCGCATGGCCCCGTGCGTATGCAGCAGCAGCCGCGGGAAACGGGAGGTGAAGTACTCCACAAAGCCCTCGGGGACGGAGCCCAGGGCCACCTGCACGTCGGCCGGCAGCTCGTGGTAATGGTGCTTCTGCAGGAGAGAGGGGGACGTGAGAGAGGATGGGGACAGTGGGGGTGGCAGGGCCACGGGGCAGCTGGGTGGCCGTACCTTGTTCCTCATGGCCCGCAGCAGGTCACGCACTGACCCCCCCTTGTAGGTGCGGAACTTCCTCAGGTCTGGGGACAGCAGGGGAGACATGGAGTGAGGGGGGATGCAGCCCCTGTAGTGCCAGCCCCAGTGCTGCTGCACTGTGGCCTCCCAAGGAAGGGCTGCCACCTTTACCTGCCCCGCTTTTGGCTCCTGGGCACAAGCAGGTGCCTGCTGGCCAGTAAAAGCACCAGCCCCTAAAGCCCCACTGCTTCACTGGGCCCAATGATGAGCCTGGCCCCTCCATGCTCACCCATCTGCAGTGGGAGGGAGATGTGCATCCTCCAGTTGGTCCTCACTACCGCCCGTCCCCCCGATTCCAGGGCTGAGACGATGGGCCCCTCGACTGGCTCCTTCTCCACACGGTCACTGACGTCCTGTGTGCCCAAGAGGTGGGTATGGCATTGCCCCTGCTCTGCACGAGGTGGGACAGAGACCCAGGGACCCTCCAACCCTCCTAAGAGTAGCTCACAAGGAGCATGTTGACCTAAATGCAGCAGTTTCCAGCATGTTTTTCAGTGCACACCTGCATTCACTGCCAGCGGGAGAGCAGAGGCTCACCTGGAAGAACTGCAGCTGCTTCTCCTGACTCCAGAAAAAGGGATGCACAAGGACCACAGGGGCCGAGGGCCGGCGCTGGGGCTCGGCGCTGATCATCGCCACAATCAGCTCCCTCGCAACGAGTTTGTCTGGGGGTGAAGCAGAACAGCAGCGAGCTCGTCCCTGCGCTGGGGGAGGGAGCTGCCCTCAGCCCGGAGCCTCCCCGTGGGGACGGGTCTCACCGTGAGCCTCCTCCTGCAGGCAGCTCAGCTGGTAGCAGCCCGCCAGGATGTTGGCCTGGCGCCGCAGGCTGTCCCCAAAGGGGTGCTGGCCCCCCGACATCACGTAGTAGAAGATGCACCCGGCTGAGAAGATGTCCACAGCACTGGTCTGCAAAACGTGGGGGGCATGTGGGACCCTCAGGCAAAGGGCAAGGAAACCAGCATCTCACAGCCCCTCCAACCTCCCCACCCCGAACTTCTGAGGACTAATGGAGCCTAATGAGACACCTGTGCTGAACACAGCTGTGCACTGTCCCACAAGGGACAGCCCTGGCAAGGAGCACAGTGCCTGTGTCTGGGCTGGCTCTGGCTCATGGAGCTCTCATCGTAATTGTGCACCCTGGCAGTGTGACCTGAGGCCACTGCCACCATGGGGGACACTGCCACAGTGGGCCCAAGGAGCACCCGGGGCAGGGGGGCCACGGCTCACTGACAGGGTTCTCCTTCGGGGCGTCCTGCAGCACCTCGGGCGCGATCCAGCCCTCAGTGCCGGGGATCCCGGAGCGGAGGCTGAAGCTCTGCCGGCCCCCCTGGAGTTTCTTGCAAAGGCCAAAGTCGGAGATGACGGCGCGGATCTGCCCGTGGCGGTTCGGGACAGAGATGAGGATGTTGCAGGGCTTCAGGTCACGGTGCACTGCAAGTGAGAGGCTGTGGTGTCACCTGGCAGGGCTGGAGCAAGCAGGGCTCTGCCACAGCCCCACGTGCTGCTGACACCCTCAGTCCTGCCCAAACCCCGCAGCATCCGCTGAGGAGGGGCTGCAGAGGGGACTGCTGGCCCTTACCGATGCTGAGGGAGTGCAGGTGGGCCAGCCCCGACATGGTCTGACGCAGCACGGACACCGGGTCCAGCCCACGGCGCTCAAAGCTGGGGCTCTCCACGTACTGGAACCACACAGCAGGAGAGGAAATAAGCCTGGTTTACTGGGCAAAGGCAGGCTGGCTGGAGAGACATCCACCCCGGCGTGATGGGGGCGATGCAGAGGAGCCCCCGCAGAGGCAGTTTGTGCCCAAGGGGTGATGGAGAGGAGCCCCTGCAGAGGCAGTTTGTGCCCAAGGGGCAATGGACAGGAGCCCCTGCAGAGGCAGTTTGTGCCCAAGGGGTGATGGAGAGGAGCTCCCCAGAGGCAGTTTGTGCCCGAGGGGTGATGCAGAGGAGCTCCCCAGAGGCAGTTTGTGCCCAAGGGGTGATGGAGAGGAGCCCCGCAGAGGCAGCTTGTGCCCAAGGGGTGATGGAGAGGAGCTCCCCAGAGGCAGTTTGTGCCCGAGGGG